AGCCGGGTCAGCCCACGCTGCAGCCGGGTCGTGCGGGGCGGTAGCGCTCAGCCGATGGCACTAGGTCTCTCCGGGCAAGGGAGATTCAAACGTGGCTTTAAATGCTGTGAAGGCACGGAGAGGAATGGGTATCTGAGCTTACGAGGGCAACCTTGTACTGTAGGGGTTTTCGCATCCCCGATGGTCCCGCCTGAGCTGCGCTGGGGGGGACCGAGGGTAGGGCGGCAGATCGGTGTGCAGCAGGAAATGCTGTTGAACCTTTCTGGCTGCAGTAAGGAGCAAAGTGCATTAGTCCTGGTGCTTCAGACTGAGACTCAAAGAGGAAAAAGAAAGGCTGCTGTATTTGGAGATTCTTTAGGGATACATTGCCCTCCCTGCTTCTGCCAGCCCCGCTCTGACCGGGAGCGTACAGAGGAGCGGAGCTGTGGTTGTTTGCGTTTCTTCCTGTTTCCTCTCCCTGCTTGCTGATAAATAATCTCTTTCACTGCTTGTGCCAGGCTTCTCCTTCTCTTTTTGCCTTACGTTGCGATATTGGTTTTCGAGCCCTTTAAATACGAACTAAAGAATCGCCTCCAGCGTCGCAGTTGTAATTGTGTTCCATAGGTAACTTTCCTCCCCCCGTAGCTCAGCCCTGCGCTATGTACATGCCCTTGGCATTTTATCCCAGGGCCGGCCCTAAATGTATGGATTACTTGTTTTCTGCCAACGTACATTTAGCATACTGATTATGAACCAGAATACAAAAAGCCTGATAGATCAAAAGCATTTTGCATGGGCAGTTGAACAGGAGGTGAATATATAACGCTTTTGTTCATCAATAACTCTTTGGCTTTGACCTGTCTGAGCAAGTCGTGCAATAAGGTGAAACGCAGGTCACAGCGTCTAACAAATATGAAAATGTGTAGTATTAAGCAGAGCAGGGAGCTGCTGCTTCCCCAGCCCCATCACTTCTCCCCGGGCAGCCCTCGGCGGGATTGTCCGCTCCCGGGGGCTGCCCCAAACGTGAGCTCCCTTTGGGGTGTGGGCGGGTGTCAGGCTGCTCGTTCAGTCTGTGGATAACAACTCCCCCGGGGGTGTGGGGGGGAGGCATCCCCCCTCCCCTCAGAGAAAGGAGGAGAAAGCGGGGCGAGCCGCTTAAAACAGTTGGGTGGAGATTTAAATAATCCGGGGTGGGGGAAAAGAGATTAGGGACACAAAGTCGTTTCGAGTTGCACTTGCTGTGAAGAGGACACCACCGCAGCGTTAAGAAAGCAGATGTTTAAAAATAGCATCCCCCAGATCAGGCAGCTGGGAGTTGGAGCCGGGCAAACAAACCGGTACACATCGCTCGGATAAACGCAACACCCCCAAATCTGCCCTCCGCAGTGGTTGGATGTATCACACCCGCACCATTATTTGTCCTTATGGTGCCTGTTTTAAATAGTGGAAGGAGAAGAGGTTGACCGCAGGACAGCAGTGAGGAGCTGGGTCAGACACAATTCATGAACTTTTGTACTCCTGTGTGCCGCTGTCGACAAAGTAAAAATAATGAAACTTTGTGATATGTTTGTAAATGATTTCGGCTGACCTCTCGCCCTGCCCTTCACCATAAACGCTACGGCGGGGAGAACCTGGGAGGGTGCGAGGCTGCGGCTCGCAGGCAGCTCGCGGGGATAATAGCTAGACCAGCATAATGGGATGAAGGTAAATTTGGAAACTCTCTTCTTCCCAAGAGCAACTAACTCCAGCCTTTAATCTCTTCTTTTTCACCAATCGCTGTTTCTGTTGTCGGCTGTTTTACTTCTGTTTCGATTTTTTTTTTTTTTGTCTGGGTGGGGGGAGATTTTTTAATTATGGAGGATCTCTTCAAATTTGTGCTAGCCTAAACAGATAAAGGCTCTTTCCTAAATTAATTTAACCATTATTATTCTAAATAGCGCAATTTGACCGGTAACGTCCGTTTTCCATAGCGAGGACGTAAACGGCAGAGCATTTCAAGTGAGCAGCAGGTCTTTCTGAGAATTTGGTAGGCGAAATTCATCGCTATAAATTGGTGGAGAGTCGTATAGCTCTATTGCAGCAATAATAAACAAGCGTGAATCTTTTCTGAAATCCAGCCTTCCTGCAAATCCGTATTTCAGAACTGAGTCCCAGCAGAATAGTTTGCATTCCTCAGAAGACAGTAAGGACTAAGAGAATTGCAAAGACCTGCTATATTGTAGATGAAAACAGAATGTTATTACGTTGTCTATATATACCCTGTAGAACCGAATTTGTGTGATATTCATATAGTCACAGATTCGATTCTAGGGGAATATATGGTCGATGCAAAAACTTCACCTTTCTGCAAATGGTTAGAAGTTTAAATACTGGCGGAATCAAAAGGCATGTGCGTGCTGAACACTCAGAAATCATAAAAGTTTTGCTGCCTCGCTCCTATTTGCTAGGTTTTAGGACGTCTCTTAAAATTGCAGTGGTCGCTCAGTCGTAACTCTCACTGACAGACTGTGAATTTGAACAGTTAATCTCACCAGAAGTTACAAATTTTCTGGAAAAAAAAAAATTAAAAATTATCTACCAATCAGTGAGCGAATCTTTAAAAAGATACTCATAAATTAGCTAGATATGCCAGACGTTAGCAAAATTTTCCTGTCAAGGGTTCAGATCGCGTCAAAATATTTACAACAGCAGCAAAAGCAGCATTCGCCTCACTGGACTGTATTTACTTGTGCTCCAGGAAGGATATTGATGAATGAAGACCGAATTTATCTCATTAAACCCGTGATATTTTTAACCTAATTAAATGCCGTCTTCAGTTCAATTGGTTGAACTTTAGTGGTTAAAAGTGAACGGTTTCGTGCCATCTGTATGATTTTGCACACACACGTGTATAGATTTGAACCCATACGCGTGCATTTGCGTGTGTGCACGCATACGTATGCACACATATATACTGAGGCTTGAAAGTGAATGAGAAGTTACTGATTGCCTAATTTTATTCAGCAGAACTAAATTCTGGTAACTTTTGGATGACCTCTGCGAGACAAAGACAGGACAGATCTATTGTACGTCATATTACCCCTCTTCTTTGACGGCTTTTCTTTTCCTCGCCTCCTTATCGGTTTCCTCCTTTTTAACCCCACTTCAGCTCCTCGCTCCGTATGTTTCTTTCGATATTGTATTTAAAGCGAGGTAACAAACCCCGGTGGCGATTGCGGCTGGTAAATCAGACGGCGGGGCATCATCCACCGGGGTTGAGGGAAGCCAGCTCAGACAAAAGGCTGGCCCTACCTGCGGGCCGGGGAGGCGGCCGCCGCCCGAGGAGTGTCCCTACACCTCCGGTACCTGATTTAGGGGGTGCGACCCGCCGGAGAGGGGGGTCACTCGGTTACGGGGATATTATTGAGTGAAATTGGTGGAAATGCTGAGCAGCGGAGAAATCCGGTGATCGGCTCCCGCCTCCCCATTAGCCGGGGCGGCGGGAGCGGGGGAAAAGTCGGGTGTCGGGCCCCCGCCTCCCCATTGGCCGGGCCGGTCACATGCCCGCCTAACTTTATTCAGTTGACAGCAAGTAGGAGGGCTCTATGGCAGGGGAAAAAAAGACAACACCAGAAAAATTAGTATTTTCTACCTTCGGAAATTAATGGCCATGAGTTCGTATATGGTGAACTCTAAGTATGTGGATCCCAAATTTCCTCCTTGCGAGGAATATTTGCAGAATAGCTACCTAGGCGAGCAGGGGGGCGAGTACTACAGTGCCTCGCAGGGCTCTGATTTCCAGCACCAGGGACTCTACCCACGGTCAAACTACAGCGAGCAGCCCTTTAGCTGTAGCAATGCCCAAGGCTCTGCCGTGCAGCCGCGGGGTCATGGACAGGAGCAATCCGGCCCAGCGAGCCACTTCCCCGGCCAAGCAGAGCATTGTCCACCGCCTCCACTGCCCAACTCGCGAGCCTGCAGCCAGCAGCCGGCCCTCAAACCCCCAAACGGGTCAGCAGTTAAGCAGCCAGCAGTAGTTTATCCCTGGATGAAGAAAGTCCATGTTAACTCGGGTAAGGATCCTCTTCTTACTTTGCTCTTCTACCCTGCTTCCGATCGTCCTCAGCGCCGCTCGCTCGAGTCCCCGCCAGACTCGTGGTCGAGCTTTTTAAGCCGAGGCACCCAATTACACTCGTCATAAATTTTTATTGCTGAGGAAATAGGCCGTTGGCCATGCGGGGCTTTGCCGTGCAGGAGAAAACTCCATTTTAGGAGCCTGCTAGAGGCTCCCAGCCTACCTAGCTGCCTGTGCCTGTAGTGCCTGCCTTAAACGAGGGGGAGAGCAGCCCGTCCATTGTAAGCTACTGGGACGAATCCAGCCCGGCCACATGCTCGCAGCTCGTAAGGTTTTCTTTTGTAAAGCCGAACCGGCAAGTCAAGATTAGCTTTGTAAAGTTCTCCGTGTTTTTTTCCCAGTGAATCCCAATTACAACGGAGGGGAACCTAAACGCTCCCGCACAGCTTACACCAGACAGCAAGTCCTAGAACTGGAAAAAGAATTTCATTTTAACAGGTACCTGACCAGGCGCCGCCGTATCGAGATAGCCCACACTTTGTGTCTCTCTGAGCGCCAGATCAAGATCTGGTTTCAGAACAGAAGAATGAAGTGGAAAAAAGATCACAAACTGCCCAACACGAAGGGCAGGTCTTCTTCCTCTGGTTCAAACCCCCATTTACAGACTGGTTCCAAGGACCATCAGACTGACTTGACAACTTTGTAGAAGAGGTGAAATTTTCCATTTCATCCTTCGCTTCTGACCAGTACTGTACATAACTGACACTGCCCAAGCAGAACCTGCATGTAGCAGCTAAGGACTCGAGAAACTGTCATCTTTCTTTAAGGTACTGTTGTACAAAGGAGACAAAATGACGCTACTTTGGACTTTATTTTATTTGCCTCTGCTAGCACAACCTAAAAAAAAAGGAGAAAAAAAAAAGGGGAGGGGGGCGAGAAAAAACAAAAAAAGAAAGAAACATCATGCAGGCAGTGGGAATTGGGAAAATATTAAACGAGACCTTCTGTCCATAAAAAGTAATAAATCATTGAAAATGAAACTGTCCTGTGTTTCAGTTTTGAATTCGAAAGTGAAGGTTTGATGCTTTATTCTGGGATTTTTACTTTTAATTGTCTTTTTATCCCATGCAATTTCGGGAGGATGCATTTGGGCAAGTTGAGGACAGGAAATTTATAGCATAGTCTTTTATTTGAGCATAAAGACTAGTAATTGTGAACTTTTGGTGCTGCTTTACCTTTCTTGGTGTAATGAAAATACTTGCTCATTTCCATAACGTCTCCGAAGGTGTGCATAAGAATTAAGTGAAAACGGGTTATTTTATGTACTGAGAGTGTTAGTGTATTTATTTATTTGTTATGTAGAAGAGTGAAGATAAAAACAAAAATAGTCAAACCAAAAACGGGGAAGGGGAGCTGAAATACAGTATTTCTCCTTCCCAGTCTCATGAACACATGTATAATGTTTACTTGTCTTGAACGTACACAACTTTCTCGTCCCTTTTTTTTGAATTTCCTTCTTTGTGAATAGGAAAAGCGTCCCTGCTCCTTACCGTGTGCCATCCAGGGCTAACAGGCTTGAAATCTGTTTCCAAAGTCTGCTCTGCTCAGCGCTGTGCTTTAAACCATCGATACCTCATTTAAAAATGGAGAAAAAAAAAAGGGGGGGG